ATATATATATATAAAACCAGTTTTCAAACCCTGGCTGCTTCCTTTGTTACAGTCTTCTCAAAATGCATAAATATTGGTCTTTTCATAATTTATTTCTTACTGTCAAACTCTGATCTTCCAGAATGTCATCCCCTCATAAAGTATACACAACAAATGAAAAGGCAAATTACCATTTTGGTATTGCCATTCTCAAAYATTTTCTTTCCCAGGGAAAATAAAAGTGTGCTTTTATGTTTACCACAAAGGAGACACTCGTGGGTGTGTTGCCTTGGCAACATGTAAAAGTGTATTTTTCTTGTGCATCTATGCTCCTAACCRTAATGATTTCCTAACTTTTATCAAGTATCTTGATTGGCTTAAATTAATTTTAAGAAATGAAGTACTTTTAATTAACGATAAAGCTGTAAGGAGAAAACTGAAGAGTGAACCGGTTATAAAAAAAAGAAATAATCAGGAGTTGCATAATAAACCTTTATTTCGTTTTAGAGTTCCTTTCAGCCAGTTTGCCCTATTAATAATCGAGGAGTGTACTCTGTGATGATGTCCTCTGTCACCGATCTCACTCTGACTCTGCTGCACCCTCCCAGATGAATAACAATACAGAAATATGAATGTRGAAATTTTCCATTTTCTTTCAAAGTGTGACAAAAAGGCCTACCAATTGTTTAATGTAGGGAAATGAGTTGTAGCCTTTTTGATCAAACCTTGAAAATAACGCGTCATCTCATGCCAATTACTCGTGTTCTTCCATGGTCTGCTTAGAGCTGGTAGTACACACAAATTTTGGTACCACTTTACAATAAGGCTTCCCTTATAGATGGCTTATAAAGAGTTTATAGATAGGTTATTAATTAATCTGTAAGCACTTTATAAATCATTAATAAATGTTTATTATGCAATAATTAGGGATGAGAAAGACAAAACTGTTTAATTAGAATCACATCTTTTAACATATTATTATTGTACTGTATTACTGCATTATGAACACCCACTGTTGTCAAAGGGGGACTCATCGTAAAGTCTAATACAGTACACTATTTATTAATGACAAACATTTATAAATGCTAAAAGTTAGTTTTTAATGTGAAAAATCGTCATTTTTAAAACTTTGTGTTGATTATCAACATTGCAAATTATTGTTCAAACATGTAACAAAATGATGTATCAAAAAAGTAAATAAACGTCATGTTAACCTACCAAATAATCCCACCCCATCCAAAATAGAGTACAGTTTTACACTTTACAATAAGGATCCCTTTAATATGTGTGGATATTTATAATGCAGTAATACAGTACAATAGTGTATGTTAAAATATGCATTTCCTAATGATTACTGTGCTTACAAGGTAGTAAACTAGTCTGAAATGTTTAATACCCAAACAGATTTGGCTCAGTATTTGGAAAGAAACTGGACAGTTTAGTCTCTTTTTTTAACTTTAATTAATATATAATAAACACTTACTAATAATTTATAAAGTGTTTACAAATGAATTAATAACCCATCTATAAACTCTTTAAAAGCCATCTATAAAGGGAGCCTTATTGTAAAGTGGTAACCAAATTTCAGTTCAATATTCACTGAGTTGTTACCGTTGGTCGACTCACTGTGGCATCAATATTGAATTGATTTGACTCCAAAAGTTGTAGATGTACCTTCAATAATTACTTTGAGTTTTCACCTAAATCTGTCCAGTGGTAAATTATGGAGTTTTTTTGAAAAATAAAAAAGGTTTGAAACTGAAAAATAAATTTGAAACTGAAAAATAAAAAGTTTGAAACTGAAAAATAAAAGTTTGAAACTGAAAATAAATATTTTTTGAGTTTCAAATCTGTATTATTTAGTTTCAAAGTAATTTTTCAGTTTCAAAATAATTTTTCTGTTTAAAATATCTTTTTTTTCAGTTTCAAAATGTTTTTCTTTTGAACAAAACTAATGGCCCCAAAAAAGCTCCATAGTAAATGACATACTTTAAGCATACCATGAGCAGTTAGTAGTTTAGAGATTATTAAAATAAATAATCAATGTTGAAGACAGAAGGATGTTTTCACAACCACACTGTTTGCTGCTGATCAGCATTTATTGACTGCCTGCGTCCTTCAAAGCTGCTTAAGTCAATGAGAATTTTGAGCTCAAGGCTTGGTAACAAAAAAAGTGGGATATGTAGATTTATGAAAAACAAGAAGAACACGGGTAACAACAGAGGGCAGAGAAAGATGGAGGGTGGAAAGAAGAAAAAAGGAAACTGTGTCACTTGATGAGAGCAAGTGACTCTCAGGGGAAGTCACATCTGAATCAGTCAGAGAGCTAACAGTAGCAGCAGGCGACTGGCAGGTTGACAGAGGCGCTCTATTCATGAAGCTAAAATGCCGAT